CCTGAACAGCGACCTGAGCACCAGAAATAGCTTCGTCTCCCGCTACCCATTGACTCGCGGTGGCTATGACCATCTACCACGACCTTGCAAAATAATCCAGGGTGAGCTGAGAAGTAGGAGTCGCTATTATTTACACGGGACCCTACAGTCCTGATCTCGCTGTCAACCTTTCACTGACTCTTCACTACTCACAGCCCTTACCATGGGAAAAAGTTCGTGACGAAGGTGAGATCAGGGGGGGCTACACAGAGTCCAACTCCTACTTTGCGCAGTTCTCAACGGCACGTTGCGCAGTTTCGCCCGATTAGACACGTTCTCTCGCGCGAACATTCACACTCGCATGCTCGAGCCGTCTGTGTCTCCGCCCATACAGCGTGCGTTGAGGATCTCTCAACGTGCCGTTGCGAACTGCGCAACGCAGGGTTGACTCTGGCTGTACCAGTGGGACTTATTTAGGTCCCTGCTCCAATCTTACTGGTGTTAAGGAATCGACAAGCTGCTCGAACGTTAGTGTCAATCGATAGGCTGGGATGACGTATACCACTGATTCTCACGCCAGTTCACTATTGCAGGCAAAATACGCGATTGGAGGATGGGTGTGATCAATATATACCATTCATATATGAGTTTTTGGGTGTTAAGTAGCTCGCAAGTGATTAAAAAAAACAAAATAAACTGTTAAGGAGGTCATAACTCAGGCTTCACAAGTTCCAAAAGAGGTCTCGATGGTGGGGAAGGTCGCAGCGAGAAGGTGTCTACTCGCACAATCCAGCTTTCACTTATGTCAAGTGATTGCTCTACCCACATCCTCTCATCCGCCTACTCTCCTGGCTCCTAGTTTAGCACTAAAGAGCGCGAACATGCCGTTCCCGAACCCGTCCTGCTCCATTTAAATTAGCACATATTTTACCCACAAACAATATATTTGTTGTGAAATTTTGAATGGTTTGAAACTTTTTCGTGTTTCTAGCACTCATTACCAAGACATGATTGCGAGATGCTGATTAGACAGGGAATTCTGGAGATTGCAAACTAGGATCGGAAGCCATTTTCTACGCGGATGCAGAGCAGTGGTTTCCCGTTCATTTCCGTCGTGTACATATCTTGACGCCGCTGATTTTTTTATCAGCAGTGTTTTGTATTAAATGATATTTTTATGTGTGGATGAGGTTCTTAATTTGAATAGAATAAAAGTTTGTACATTGAAGGAAATGGTCTTTTTAGTGTGAGGAGGGTGTGTGTCAAAATTAAGAGCTATCTGATGTTGGGTTAATTGGATGATTCTTCGAATTATCTGAGACAATCCACACCGGTTCTCCATTTGAGTCATCCTCCACTGTGTAATTTCCTTTTTATTTCCCGATCTAACCTTGAGGCACACCCAGATCAGGACTGTGGATTCTACTGGATAGCTCCTTTCATGAGTAAAATAGAGGCGTGCACGAGCTCTCTCGCGACTCGAAAGTGTGCATCAACGGGACTTGTAGAGTTTGGACCTTGTCATGACGGCGGATGATCGTCTCTCATCTAGCCTTCGTGCAACGGCGGGGTGTCTGTGTTCTCTCGTCCGCTACGCTCCCTCGTTTGTGCTCTCTCCTTAGTCCGCTGTGTTTCTTCGTCCTACATAGCTCCCGTCACGACGAAATGAAGACCCTTGTTTTTGCAGTAGCCTCATACGGTTCCTTTTCCTTTTCTTCC